GAAGAGCAGCTGGAGGTAATAACTTTTTTCCTCGTCTCCTGAGGTTTCTCAGCTGCTTATGGTTCTACTCATTAATGTCAGAGTGGAACAAAAATCTGAATGCCTGCTTGCAGTCCTTAATGCCCTCAGCTACATTGCTCCTAGCATAAGCTGAAAACCCCATCAGTATGGTATTTGTTTCAGCGCCTCGGAGTCTCACACTGCCACCCTTGGTTCCTACTTACCAGAACAAAAGCCTCCTGACTCATGCTGGCATTGTGATATTTCCCCAGGATCAAAAGGGCAGGTAGCAAAATCACCAGAGAAAGCCTGCAGCCAGACAGTCAAATCCTCCATAGGAAAAGGGTGGGATTTTTAAAAACCTAAACACTGCCTTAACTTCAGTCAAATGAGCTACAAAACGCTATTTCATTTCAGAGCACTGTTTAGTGTGACTGCAAAAAAGACCCAACTTGAAAGTTATTCATGATATATTTTAACTATCTTAGGAACAAATGTAGCCCTACAGGATGGTTTTTTTTACCTGTAAGGTTGATATCAGGACATCCACTAGCTTTCTTCTGAGTCCAATAGTACTCCTACACAGTATTAATTAATAAATATGGATGACTCATACATTTTGGAAGTTCAGTGGACCACTGTAAATCCACAATCCTCTGGTAATCTCAGGCACACAGTCATTCTTCATCATGACAGCAACCTATGAAAGTAGCTGTGAAAAGCTGAGATAACAAGCCTGTAGGATAGGAAAGAGGTAGGTGCAACTTTTCGCATAATTTATGGCTGATTTTATTGGCTTTGGATTTTTGTCAGGTGTGTTTGTATCATAAAATGTATTTTGTTGGTTTGATTTGAAGTAGAGTCAAGTCACAGTGCATTATTTGGGTAACTTCAGTCTCTGCTAAGGAAAACATCAAAACCTCTACCTAGCCCCCCAAGCCCTCCTACTACTAGAAACAGAAAAAAAACCCCAAACCAACAAGCAAGCAAACAAACAAACCCCCCCCGCCCCCAAAACCCAAACAAACCCTAAACCTCTGAATGGAAAGTTTTTAGCAATGCTCACAAATACTACACAGATGTATGGAAACTGATCATGGCAAAACATTTCAGTAAGGATAAAGCACGTGCTACAGAACTCAAATACACACAAATTATGCTGAAGTGAGGAATAAACCAAAAGTGATACCTGTCATGTTTTCTAGATCTGTTTTAATATTTAACTTTTGGTTTTGTAACTGAGCACCCTGATGCAGGATAGAGGGCCATCACTGCAGATGAGTGTCCAGCACAGAGCATGTTCTTTGAGACACAAATGTATTTCTTGCAGCCTTTTTTATAAGGGAGCAATTTAAGAAATGTCTCTTTTTCTTTTTTTCCCCCTCATAAAGATGGAACCATGCTGAAAGTGGCAAAGACTTACATAGGTGCTTCTGCTCAGGCAAATGCACCCTTCCCTTACACACGGGAGGCCTAAGCAATAGCCTTTTGCAGGAAGAAAGAGCCACAGCTGAACACCCCAGGCACAGGCTGCAGCCAAGGACCACGTCTTGCCCTGCACTGGCTTTCCTGGTCCAAACCTCATGGGGAGTGGAGGGGGTCCTCCACAGGTGCTTGTGCTCACTTGTTGGCAGCAGCTGTGCCTGACAAAAGCCAGCCTGGTCTCAAAGGACATTTGGCATTGCTTGCCAGTGTAGGATGACAGCCTGAAACCTTAGGAGTTTTCAAAGAGCTATTCCTCCAATAAAACCTTAATCACAGGTGTTACAGAGGGTTTGAGCAGTGGATTTGTAATGGTAAAATCAGGCGTGGGTGACACACAGTTTTCCCAAAACAGCTGAAGGCACACATTGTCTTCCACAGCCACAGGCACCTAAACAGTACAAGGACTCCCAAACTCTAAGAAGTTGATTTCACTTCAGCATTTCAGGTCAATGGCTTTGAAAAGAAAATCTGCAGAAGCAGCAGGAAGTATCTTTCCTCACCAGGCTGTTGGTCTTGTTCCTTTTACATACACTGCTGTCCATGTCTTTGTTGCCTATCTGTGGCAGGTATTTCACTTGTCTGAATGAATTGGCTGGGAAGGGGAAATACAGAGAAATTGCCAGCGTTTCTGGAGAAACATTCAGGTTCAGGTACATTGCATTCTGCATAACCATTTAATAAGTAGGGAAATAGGCAGGGAATATTTCAGGCTGAGAAAGACTTAGGGGCAAAAAGGCTAATGTGAAGTGGGATTAACAAAAGGCTTCAGGAGATGACTCACACCATGCTTAGCATTACAAGATAGGCATCTTAATCAGAACAGCCAGGGCATTTTTACAACACAATATCAATTTGCTGCGTTTTTTTCTTGAATACCAGTTTTATGCAGTCATGCTGCATGTGAGCAAATCGCTCCCTAGCAATTTCTCAGCCTATTTCAATCAGATTTCAAAGAAGAATGGAGGCTTTAGAGATAACAATTTTCTGTTTATTTCCTTAAATTGGCCATAGGAACAAGTGAGAAATCCTATAAGTACCTCTGCTAAGGCAAAAGCTGGTGAGTGCCCTCATATCTGACTAAATATAACAGGATCCGCATGGGAGTAAGCCTTTATAAACTTTCAAGAGGGGGAAAAAGCTTTCATCACATCTCATACTGTCATCATTGTAAAAACCAGCATAGCATAAGACATGTCTTACAGAAAACACTAAATTTCCTTGGTTCTGGTACTCAGCAAGTACCTTGCTTGAAGGTGACTTCATCTTTTTACACTAAGGTTAAAGTGTGGTTTGAATTCCTAGTAATGAACCTGGTAATGAAAGCTTACCACCAACCAAAATTCTGGTTTTTTCCATTTCTCTCACAGTCTAAATGGCTAAGGAAAAGCCACATGGAAAGCCTTTGATACAGTCTTAAAACCAGAAATCAGTGCAACTGAAAAGTCTTTGTAGTACTTCACTGAAGTTATAATTCTACACAAAAAAAAAAGCTGGAAACTAAAAGAGGAAAGTAGCACCAATGAATGTCTGGCCATATCTGTCAAACTCTTAATATTTAGTTTGTTGAAGCTTTGATATCCAGACTGTGCCACAGAGTATCCTCACCTATCACTTTTCATCAAAACAGAGGATTTTTGCAGCTCTAAAAGCTTTTCTGCCTTCTTACAGCTCCAGATAAATGCAAGGATGACTCTTCTGACTCTTTCTGAGTGGTGAAGACTGTACTTATGGCTTTTGCAGTATCTTTGCATTTCCAAGAGGTGAGGAAGGCACACTGGAGAAAAAGTAAGCTGGTGGATGGTGCCATAGCCTCTTCATAAAGGGAAGGAGAGCATTTTTCTTGTACTGTTTCTTCTTGTGAGGAGACCTGATGTGTGGGGAGGAGGGTTCAGAGGCAGAACAGCCACATGAGCTAAGGTGAACCAAGACCAGATTCATTAGTGTGCAAAAGTGAAATCTTTTCCCCATCTCCCATCTTTCCCTTGACCTCTTTATGCTCTGTATTACATAACTGTGCAGTGCTGCTCATCTCATCTAAGCAGAGTCACTCAACTAGACACTCAGCTAAAGCTAACCTGTACAAATTGCTGAGAAAAGTTTAATCTAAATCCTCATCCCTCTGCATAATTTAAATACTTGAATCAGGACTACATGAAATGTTTTCTGGTCTGTTTTGAGAGATTTCTAAGCTTATACATTTATCAACTACAAACACAGAGATTGGTGCACTGGTCCTGAGCCCAGTGTGGCCACACACAGGTTATTGTGTCCTGTTTACTGCCTAGACAGGACTGCTGTGCACAAGCTGCTCAGGGCAATAGACTTAGCTCCTGCTGGCTGTTGATTTGTAACAAAAAACAAATCGTATCTGAAAAAACAGCTCTGATCCAGTGCCTGGGACTGCTCTGTCACAGTCTCACAGCTGGTGTGGAGGCACCCTGCAGATGCCTGCCTGCTTCATGTGCAGGATGGTGGAGTGCTCCTTTTGCTGGGAAAAACATCAGTGTCAATTCCTATTTCTTGGGCACATGCTTTTACTCCTGTGCTAATAATCAGAACTGTGGTAATGCACTGGCCTTCAGTTCCCCCAAATTACATTTTCATAACTTGATAATTTACCAGTATTTCACCACTGCATGAGTGTTAGGTGTTCTCTGAGGATGTCTGCTAGAAAAAGGCTCTTGGAGGCAACACCTCTGTCTTAATATATCATTTTCTGAATCCCAATATATTTAGTCTTAGGCTAGTCATCTGCTCAGGCAATGACAATTCCATATACAGAAAGAATTAAAACATCAGATGTGTAGGAAGCCATAAATAGGACAAAACACACATAGACTTAGTCAAGGAAGCTAGCCTAACTTTGGTTGGACAAATGACCTTCAGGAGACGCCTTCTATCCTTCAGCTCAGGGGAAGTTTGAATTATTAATTTAGCCAAGATGCTTAACCTTTAGACACATGAGGTGAACTGAATTTTACTCTCCTAGCTTTCAATCAATCATGCATTTTAAATATATAATTAAAAAGTATCAAATGGTCTAAAAGCCAGAAGGCAAGAACTTACAGAGAACTCTAATTTTAAACAGACACATTTTTGAGGAACTCAGAATAGCAAAGCAATTAAGTATGTGCCTAAATACTTTTAAACTGACATTATGTGTTCCCTAGTAGGTCATAGCCACAATGGTGCAAATCAATCATATATTCTTTTCTCAAGCTATGAGGATTTACAGGAAGTAATGCAGCTGAAATTTTCATTAATTTGCTTCACAAACCCAAACAGAACCTGACCAGAAGCAGTGTAGAGATCAGACTCCTGCTTAAAACAGCATCCAAACAGCATCCTCCCTCTCCTGTGTTTTCCACTGCTAAAACACATATACTTTAAAAAAAAAAAAAGAAATTGATCACAACCACTGTATGCTTTTACAATTTAAAATCTTTTTAATATGCTATTAGTCAACCTTAATGTGTGACTTTTCTTACATTTTTTTAATGGTTTTGAAAACTTACCCATATAGGGTTTTGTGCCAGCCATAGAAGAAGCTTTTTCTGAGCCTTTCACTATGGTTGCTATGTTAAAGTCAGTGATATGAACATGTCCTGCAATTACACAAAGTAGAAACAAAAGTTAAAATAGCACTTCATACAAATATTCCTCTCTTTATTTAACATTTAAGTGATAATGGAAAGAAAATTAATTGGAAAGATTCATAGCATTAATGAAAACTTATTATTGAATGTTACTCATAACTAGAAAAATCAAGTTGGAAGCAAAGTGATGGAATACTCTTCCTGTGTGGTTAAACCTGCTACCTGCTTGCAGTATTGAACTGGTTTTGCTGATCACGCCTGACTCTTTTCCTGACATGAAGAAACTTGAGAAATGGGCCGATGAAAATCTCATGAAGTTCAGCAAATCTAAGTACAAAGTGCTGCACCTGGGTCAGGACAATCTCAGACATGAGTACTGGGAGATGAACTCATTGAGAGCTGCCCTACTGAGGAGGACTTGGGGGTTCTTGGGAATGAAAAGCTGGACATAAGCCAACAGTGCGGGCTTGCAATCCAGAAAGCCAATTGTATCCTGGTCCGTGTCAGGAGCAGCGTGGCCAGCAGGCTGAGGTGATTCCCTGCCTCTATTCTGCCCTCATGAGACCCCACCTGGAGTCATGTCTGCAGATCTGGGGTCCTCAGCACAAGAAAGATGTGGACCAGTTGGAGAGGCCCAGAGGAGGCCATGAAGATGATCTGAGGACTGGAGCACCTCTCCTATGCAGACAGGCTGGGAAAGGTGGGGTTGTTCAGCCTGAAGAAAAGAAGTCTCCAGGGAGACCTTATAGCAGCCTTCCAGTACCTTAAGGGGATTTATAAAAAGGAAGGAGAGGGACTTTTTACTTGGAGATAGTGATAGGACAAGACGAAATGGTTTTAAAATGGTTTGAAAGAGGGTAGGTTTAGATTAGATGTTAGGAAAAAATTCTTTGTCAGAGGGTGGTAAAGCACTGTAACAAGTTGCCCATAGAGGTTGCAGATGCCCCGTTCCTGGCAGTGTTCGAGGCCAGGTTGGATGGGATTCTGAACAACCTGGTTTAGTGGAAGGTGTTCCTGCCCATGGCAGGGGGGTTGGAACCAGATGATCCTTGAGATCCTTCCAACCTTAACCATTCTATTATTCTATGATTCCATGTTTTCTCTGAGCAGTAAGTAGAATGCAGAAGCAGCATGTGAAGCTATGTGTGAAATTTATCTCTCCTTATCTCCAGCTACAGCCACCTCTCATAATGTCAGGTGCTCATGACACTCTCTACTGTCTCATCCACTACAGGTTACCATCAGCTCGTTTTTTTCTGAGTCTCCTCAGGGCAAAGAGGAAGATAAGTAGAAAAATGATATTTTTATCATACAATAACTATAAAATTAGATCTACAGTAACAGAACAGTGTGTATGTAACAGGAGCAGCTCCCAAACGATCATTCATTTGACGGCAGGTTGAAAGATGAATGATAAGTGACAGGAGTCAGCCTGGGGACGTGCTGCCTGACCAGCCAAACAGCTGATTTAAACTGAATTCATCAGGCTGGATGGCCCCAACCTTCTGTCATTACTTTTTTCCTTGGGGTAGCTTCTGATAAGTGTAGATTAAATTGCTCCACCACAGTGAAGCAGTAGTTATTAATCCTGGCTTGCCAGGTAAATTGAATCTAAATCCAACTTGAAAAAATTAAAATTAAAATTAAAACCAGACTTTTAATTTGACAAGTCTTTTGTTAGGTTTTGCATCTCTGCTGTAGGACCAGTCTTATATTGTTGAGGGATGTAGATATTATGCTCTCTGTGATTATATCTGGCAATGCCATTGTGGAGGACAGAGTACAGGGAAAGGCACTCCCTTTCCCAGCTTAGCACTGCACTCAGATCAGGATTAATACATCATGTGTTGGACTAGACTCTTGAGTGACAAAGTCATGTGATTTTTTTTTTTTAATCAAGTCTCAACCTCATTCAACCCACAGAATGAATCAGAGTTTGGGCATGATGCTGCTATTAAGTGAGGGAGGTTGTTATTATGTTTGCTGCCAAAGATGAAAAGACTGTAACAAATGACTGATGTTGGATTTTACAGTGATGCCTGATGAAGGAAGAGCTGTATCTACAAATGTTATGCTGCTCCAACAGTCTAACCTAGATCCTGCTCAAAGTCCACAGGAAATGTATCTGCCAGCCTATGACGACTCTGCAGCTACACATGTGTGAACTGAATGTCTCAGAGGACCCTAGTTTGGCCAGATCTGAGTTAGTTTTGAAGGGGAAAAGGAAGAATGCACTTCCTACTGCTAAACTTAAAGCTCTTTCCCCAAACGGGAGATATAGTAAAAGTGTTCGATGAAATGGTTTGCATGCTTTCTGTACTTTTCTCAAGAAACCTACTTAGATTTTATTGACACATTCTTCTTAAAATGCCCAGCTCAGGAAGACATCTACAGGGCAGACAAAAGCTGTGAGCAGATGAAAGCCATCCCTTTATAAGGAGCAGGAGGTGTTAAGCTGTCATAACACGAATTAACGTTCACAGCCCAGCCTGACATCACAATTCCAAGATGGTATTCCATCTTCCTGGTGGCTGAAGTGTAGCATATTTGCAGTTCATTTCTGCCATCATAAAACACTATGGCAGAAGGCTTCTTTGAAATGGTACCTGAACCAGATATAGCCTCCTCATTGCAGTAGTGTAAAGCAATTTCGTGTACACTGTAGAATGAAATGTTGCAAGGATCTCTGGACACTAATACTTTCCGTTTTTTTGACAGATAAATAAAAGTTCTGTCACTTATATGACAGCACTGTAAGTGATGCTCCCTATTAGACTACCAGCATGATTACCCATTGCAAAACATCCATTCAGACCAATTCATATTTGCAATCAAAATTGCCTCTCCTGCAGTGCATTGTTTTCTCTCCCTTTTATTAGTGTCCTTTTCATTTAACAAAACCAAAATAGCACACGTAAATTGTTGAATGCACTGGTTGATTTTTTTTTTTTTTTTGTTAAAAATGCCTTTCTACAAGCTAAGGGATGGATTGGGAAGCATAGCTCCTATGCATCCTGCTGCCAATACAGCAACAACAGGCAGCTCCTCTACATGCAGTAGGGCACAGTGGAGCCATGTCTATACTGCTGGAAAAACTCCACCTTTGCTCTTCCCCTCCACACGGCCACTCCATGGCCCACTGCCTTTCTGCAGGCAGCCCTTGCCTAGTGCTAAAAGGGCTGCTAATTGACGCTGGAGGGAAAAGAAGGTCTCTGCAGGCAGGTGAATGGCTGTGCTGCTGCAGAGACCGCACACAACGCCTGGTGGGAGCTGGGGGCATGGGGAGGGGCTGAGTCTGGGACAGGCCAGAGAAGGGGCGTGAATGCCCTGTGCCTGTGAGCAGTGGAGGAGGGCTGGAGGGTGTCGAGGCAGAGTTCTGAAGGTTTTCAAGTCTTCTAAGCCTAAGGATTTGTTTGTTTGGGGTTTTTTTGTTTTATTTTTTTTGTTTGTTTGTTTTTGTGGGGTGTGGGTTTGGGCTTTTTTTGGCATTTTTAAATGTTTTTTATTCCTGGTGTGAATATTCCAAGAAACAGTTAGACCCCAATTCTCTATAGGAGTCTTTCTTATCAGCCTCTAAGACCTGTTTTTACTGCAACTGTTGTGCATAGGAAAAGGGAAGGTTGCTATTGCTGCAGAAAATATTCTGGGACACCTCATACTGCTTCCAAACTTTCTGTTCCTGGGGACTTTTTTCCATCTGAGCTTCACACCTTGTACTTGATCTCCCTTTCTGGATATGATTGTGAACAAGTAAATGTCAAAACCAAGTCTATACCCTGATACAATATTGAAGCAGAATGTCAGTGCCACTTGGATTTAGCTCTTACAGACTGTGAAGGCTTCCAATAAGGCTTTACCGGGGTAAGTTAATACCTGCAGTACAGTGTATGACTTTGGAAAGCTTTATGCCATGTGACTTTTATGCCTCGCTTTTTCACATGGTCTGAAATCATGGTATCTGAGGTAAACAACAAATGATCATTGTTTGGACTATTATTTAATTTTTGAGCAAATCTTAATGACTATTACAACAAGTCCTGAAAGGTGTCTGGGGTTGGCTGACTAACATTTAGCAGAGGAAAATGTACATGATTTCAAACCTCATTGAATTTCTCCGAGTCTGTAACCAAAGGGGTGAATTTGAGGGCAGAGAGAAGAAATATTATATTGGAGTTAATGTCACCAACTCAGCATGCATTAGAGCTGATCAGAAATCTCAGCACAGTAATATTTTGGAGCAAATTCAATCTGATTTGCCCTCAGAAGGTCAAACCCTATGAACAATTTAAAAAGCATCTCTGGGTTCATCTGTACTATGTATGAGAGCATAAGCTCACACACACACCTGAACTTGGCATGGCTTGGCAGTCTTCCACATTTCATCAGGGAGATTGGTACAACCTCAGTGCGTGGCTATAGATGGGTTCAGCAAGGCCATGCATTTCAAAAGGTTAGGCTGCTAAATGGCCACGTAGGCATGTAAAAGTTTCAGATATATTTTCAAAGTCCAGATAGCTTCAGGTGGATGAGTTATGCTGGAAACCTTCATCTTGCTGATCAAGATCAGAGGATTAAATGAGATACAGTCCCTGAAAATTGCCTATGGGTAGGATAAGGACCAGCCCTAGTGCAGACACACCGGTACATCTTTAGTGGAGATGTCTCTTAGATATCAGTATACAGTAATAATGCTGCCAGTTCTGGTATTCAGAATTTAATATTGGAGCTCAAATTATTAATTTTTGGGTGGGTTTCTTTCATGCCATTTTTCTTCTAAGGTCAAGATTGCTCATTGGCTACATCTTTTGATTTTGCTGTTAGTTTTCAAATGAGAGCTGAGATGTAATCAATGAAATAGAGTTTTAAGGAAAAATTTGATGATCACAAAATAATATAATAATTTATAATAAGTTACTATGAATTCCAGATTCAATTAGCCTTGCTCACTCATAATGAAATTATTTTACTGAATAAAATCACCACTATCTGATGCAAAAATCCAATCTACAAAAACCCCAAAACCTAAAATGTAAACCTATAAAATGTAAATCTACAAAAACCCCAAAACCTATATAATGTAAATAGTCCTGTTAAGTCTGAAAGTGCAATATTATGTGATTTCAATATGGAGAGCCATCAGGAAACAGTTTCAAGACTAGAATTAGTAATCATTCCGTGAAATTAGCAGATAGGGCCTTCAAAATTAATAAACACATAGTGAGTCTTCACATAATCTGTTTTCAAGCTAAGAACCCTTACACAGGATGTTAAGGATGCTAAAAGTTCTCTTCACTCAAGGAAACACCAGAAAAGATCTTGGAAAAGGGCAATGAAAGTTATTAAATATTTGGAAACCATAACCAGCTCAGGAAATGCCTCAGTAACAAAAAGATGGAAGCTGGGTGAGCACCTGGGGAAAGTACCACCAAAACTAGACTCTTTTTATATCTTACTCTGTCATGCATTTCTTGGAGACTCTTGGAGACAAGAAGCTCAATTAGATGGGTCTTTGATCCACTGTGGTTGCTCTTCTGCTCTGAAACTGAAAGACTGCATGTCTGTAACACTGTGGCAAGTGAGAGGGGCAAAACTTCTTCCTGATGAGACATTAAACAAGCTGAGGCTCTTCTGCTGACAGGAGAGTGTGGAAGGATTTTTTGAATATCTTGAATATTGTGATTCTAAGTTATTATTCATCAAATCCTGCAATTCTAGAAGTGGAACTTTTTCCTTTTTTTTTTTTTTTTTGCAAGAAGAGCATTTTAAAACACACTAAAGAAAACACTTTCCCTTCATGAAGGAGGGTGAACTTCTACAGTTTGTTGCTCCAGGAGCTTGTAGAGGCCAATATCAGCCACAGCTTCAAAGCGGCACTAAACGAACTCATTAACAGAGATGGTCTAATATCCTCCTACAAAAATTGTGGGTGATAGGAAACACTGAAGCATTTGACAGCCAAGTGGCAAAAGGCATGTTCCATGAATAGTACCTCCTCTTGCCACCAGTTGTGACAAAATGCTGGCCAAGGTCTTGGATCTGACCCAGCAGGGAGTTCTTCCTCAGTAAACCAAGCAGGGATCTTGCTGCATCTTATGAAATGACATCCTGGAAAATTGACTGAGAGGAAATCAAACCCTTGCAGATTTCCTGTTAACAGACTGTAATAATCGTGTGGTCTCTCTGTACAATGCAAAGCCTGAATGAAAAAGTAGAGCCCTGCAATTTCTGCAGAACAACCAGAAATGTTAATTTAAATGGTGCTACCAAATAGCTATAAAAAAAATGTTATCATCTCTGAAAAAAGCCAATGTACTAATCTGTTTGCCACTGCTTGTTTTCTGCATTTAGGAAATTCTACATCCATTTAGACATCATGGTTAATTGATCATGGAAAGTTTTAAAGACATCTTTAATTTCTTTGATATTTCACCAAAAAAATACAACATGGACCAGACTTGTCAGATTCCAGTTCCAAATGCTGTCATTTCAGTTATATGGTTCTAAACCATTAAAATGAAAGGAATAGCAGAGGAAGCAGAATACTGTCTTTAGGAGAATTACATAATGCTTTTCTCTGTACAATACAGTAGTAGTAGCTGTCCTGAAACACTAGGTAGTTCCTTCAGCTGAGACTGGAATAGTTCTGTTTCAGATGTATGTTAGCAGAACAGGGCACTGCTACCAAATTTAAAGATTAGTGTTAGTCATAAGAGGAAGAGCTTTCTGGGAAAGCTGAGAAGGAAATGTAACAGAAGAGCTTTATGGACAGCATTCATTTCCTTAGAGAGGTCTGATTCCAGTCCAGAGAGTGAACCCTGAAACCATCCCTACTTTCTCTCCTCAGAGGTGGGATGGGGAATCTTTCCAGGAGATTGTGCAATCATCCTCTGACAGAGGCTGAACACTTTTTTAAGCAGCTGATTATCCCATTCTCATGTAGCATTATGCTATTCATGATCATCAAATATTTATTTCCACTAATGCATCAGAACCTGGGTCGAGATGTGGCTGTGCTGAAAAGTATACAGGAAAATTCAGACTTTCTCTGCCAGAATGATTTGGAATATGTTGTATATGTTTGTTTTTGTGGGGTTTTTTAATTTATAAATTAGGTCAGTCATTTTTAATGGTTAAGAAGGATCTCCCATTTTCACTACTTTTGTATTCCTGAGGTATGTTCTCTAAGCAACACAGATAAATTGTAGTTAAATTAGTTTCAATGAGCAGAAATATCTGTAATATATATTCTTGGTATATGTTATGAAAGTCAGTCAATTTGACTGCTTGAAGATGTAACTCAATGTGAATGGCGTAAACTACATGTTGACTTCAGCCAGACTAGGTTTCTTCAGCGAGGCCAAAAGAATCTAACTCACTGAGACAAAGTCTCAGTCAGGAATATTGTGCATATCCAATTCCATGATATTTTATGTAAACATAATTTGTTTAATATACTGTAAGAAAGACCTAGGGCTAAAGTCAAGTGTATAGGAAACTGTTGTGCCATCTCAGAGGCCATGGGCTAAAATCAAGTTCCTTCCTGTGCACCTGGTTAGACTCATATTAGGTGAATTTGTTATGCTTCCTCTGCAACCAACATATTTGCAGTGCATATATTCAGCATATTTTTCCATTAAATGAAATCTGATGATTTTGTAAAAATGATGTTATTATGTTGCAGCTTAATCAGAGCTTTTAGGAACTTCAAGGATAGCATTCTTCTTGCAAAATATACATCTGTAAGGTGTATATCTATATCCTAACTCAAAAATTCTAGATATTAGTCACCAAAGACAAATAAATACTCGTGTATAGTGAAGACATCCAAAATAAACCATATGATCTAGAACACCTCTATGTCTTTCAGTTATCTGTAAAGTAAACCTATGGAAATGAGCACAGTACACACACACTTGTCCTACTGATATCGCCCCATTTAGTGAGTTGAAGTATGTGTGTAGACCCTTTTCCAGGTTCAGAGAATTCTTTCTCTCAAACACATAACAGGTCTTTTAACCTGTTTGAATCCATGAGCTGATCAGTTCTGCTGGCCAAGATCCATCTGCGCATCTGGAGAAGCACGTTGTTTCATCGCTTGTCTGCAGGTGTGCTATGAGGGAGCAGCATTCTGCTGCTTTGAGGAAAAGGGGCCATCCAGCCCAAAATTTCCAAGCTGCCTACAGATAATTTTGTTCTGAACAGCTTATAATCACAATAAATGCCTTCATTTTGCAGCATAGTGCTCATGCTCTATGTAGGTTTTTCTCTGTGATACTTGAGGCTTCATAGGAAAACTCTCACAAGAGGCTGATTTTGTTCAGTAATTGACCTTGATGAGGGGCAAGGAGAGATAAGGGTGACAGTACTTCAAAGGCTGTCAGTCAGAGATTAACATACTCATGCTCATTTTGTGTTGCTGTTGACATCTTTAATTCACCCAGGACTTAAAGACAAGGCATTTCTATTTCATGCTTATTTGCTGATATTAGTGTCTAGGGAACATTAACACTTATGGGTCTCAAACATTAAATTGCTGAAGTTCTAGATGTTTTAAAACTCTAATATTACTTAGCTTCCATGTTCCCAGGGACAAACTTCACCCTTGCACAATGTTATCTTTTTAATCAACTTTAAATTGTATACCCTGCAGCTCTGCAACAGATTTTGAAACATAACACTATTGTTGGCAAAATTTCAAGATTATATTTTCTCAGAGATTATCTGCTTTTAATCAATTTCTGAAGTGAACAGAGCACGGGACTTTCCCACAGTTACAAACACACATCTCCTTTTTCCATTTAGTCTTTTTCCTCTATGTATTTCTGTTCTAACTGATAAAAGGCTAATGTCCTTTCTACCTGTATTTTCTCATTTTTTCCTATCAATAGTTGCATGAAGATACACGAGGTTTTAGCTAAATACCTAGAGTGTGTATGTGTAAAATTAAAGACATTGGCTTTTTTTTTTCATATCGTGCCTTTTATGTTTGACAAAATGGAATTTACACTGGAAGTTCAAAACTCTGTATGTTGTCTTGTTCTTTTTTAATGCTATTTAAGCCAGAACTACATATAGAGGTGCTAAAAATTTTCAGAACTAGAGAAATTTCCAAAATCCATATCTAAATTTAAGAAAGTAATTTTGAATACCTACATGGGAAATAATTTGCTATGTGAAATTTCTTACCTCTTCAGAGTTCTAAAAGAGTGAATAAAGTACTTGGTACAGTTCTACTGGTAGGCATCTAAAAAGGGATTATGATGGTGCACAGAAATCCTGTTAATAAAAATATTAACTTCTTTTTGTCAAGTGTCCCTGGTGATCTCAATTCATATTAAATTCCTTTGTTTTCAGACCTGAAGTTTCAGATCCGCACATTTCTTTTGCAGCAGGAGGGAAAATTACAAAATCCACAGTGTTCGAGGGACTTTGCAGAGAAAGTCCAGATTTAGATAGGAATTCAACATCTGAAGCGGATTTACAAAGCATGAGCACGCTGCTGAGATCTCAAGAATTAGAGATTCTGAGAGAAAGCAGTCAATACTCACCATGTTCATCCAATAGTATGTTGTCAGGTTTGATGTCCCTGGAAAATAAGGAAAGGAATGCATTACATTTCATACCCAAAGGAAACCTCCAATTTTTAAGTTTTTCCCATCTGGGTATGAGGGCTAAGTCACTTAAACTATTACAAAACCAATGAAAACCATGTCATATGCAAAGGCAAATGATTTTTATCTACATCCCTATTTCCCTGAGAAAACATGCATACTAAAGAGGCTCTCTAGGTTTCCATTTGTTGTGGTTTTGTTTTCATATGGTTAGCATTGACATGGGATTGGTTTTCAAGATTATGTGATTTATTCTTTATAACAGTGGGAACAATGAGATGGAAGATTTGCATCTAGAAGGTGCCTGACTGCTTCAGGGACTCCATATCTCACAGAAATAATTTAACTGGAAACATTGGTGGTTTACCCTGTCTGCCAGAGCCTGCTAATCTGCCACACTCACATGTGTGGTCACTCACACACTGCAGAGTCCTGTGGGCTATCTTGTGCTAATTCAGTATGTCTCCTGTTAGTCCCTGAATCCCCACTTGGCTGTCTGTACCAGCAGGTACTATGCTGTTAGGGAAATGGTGAGGGGGTAAGGGAAGATAAACATTATGATGGGCTGAAGCATCAGCTCAACAACGTCCTTCTTGGCACAAGAGAACAACATTGCCCTAGAGAGTTTCACTTTCAGGATCATTTTCCATTGACCTAAGTTCATGCTGCTGTCAGGAGGGATGGAGACAACTTTTCCTCACCATTGACAGGCATTCCCACTCTCTCACTGGGTCCAGCATTATTGCTGTTAGTGTGGACCTGTTCTGGGGGAAATTCATTGCTTTTGCCAGCTGGATCAGTCTGTGGTTTGGCTCACCCTGGGGCTTGGTGAGTGTGATGTGGCAGTGTGTGTGGCACTGCCTTGACCCTGGCAGCTTGCAGTTCATGCAGTTTTGAAGCTGTGTTCTTTGGTGTGGCACTGACAGAATGGCAGAGGCATCAGTCCATCTTGAACAAAACTTTTGCCCCTTGGTCTGAATTTTCCCCTTATCTCAAAAGACAAGGCACCATAAACTGTCAAAATAAGCTGTTGAATAAGTCTGCAAAGGTCACTCCAAACATGCCCACCTGTTTAATTTCTTTTAGAAAACGGATGACTTGATGGGTTGATTATTCCAATTTAACCATTTCCTAGGAAAGTTTTTTTGCCAATGTGCCCATAAATGGAATAAAGAAAAAAGGAAAAAGTTGCAAAAAGAAAATATGTTACACCAGAACATCTTTTTTTTTTTTTAATTTTAATTACAGAAGGACTTCTCAAGTAAACATCATACAGGAATAAGATAGCAATAGCAATTATAATATATATTGTTTGCACGATATGAGCTTAGTCATCACTCAAACTCTAAATCTTTGTTGACAGAAGAAGGAAGCTTACACCTTCCTTAGGAATCTGGATCCCACACTTTCTATTCTTCTTGAGAATCATATGAAATTATTAAGTATGCTAAGATTATGTTTATAAGTCATGTAGCATCAGCTGGGGAAACATAGGATAAATAAGAAATTAGTTTGAATAATTCTCTGGACATTTGGAAATAATGTAGGACTCATATGTGTCCATGTAAGGAAAAGGATTTCACTATGAATGACCATCTGGAATGGAAATTTTAAATTATCCCTGTATTTCAGTGGGAAATACTGTATTTCTTTTGCACAACTTACAGGCTACCTATAACTGTCTGATTCAGTGGTAGTTCTATTTATGTGTAATATATAGGGAACATCTGTCCTAGAGCCTATTTCACCCAAAACCTTCCAAACTGACTTGTGTCTTTCCTGTCCCCTGAAGTCACTTGGCATAACATTTATCATATCAAACACTTTCCTTCAGTGATTTCATATGGGTCAAGCTGTGAGTTACCGGCAAACTGTAGGAGTAAATATCTTTGTTTATATTATAAAACTTATCTTTGGTTGAAGTATCATAGGAAATTCTATGTATTTTTATATCCAGTGTTATATCTAAGTTCTCAATTGATGAGGCAGGTTTTAATAGAGTTAGTGTTCAGATAGTATCAAATATATTTGCTAGTGACAAAATGATTTCTGGTTTTTGATAACTGTTTTCTGATAAGAGCTGGAATTGTGATTTCATGTGAAATAGTCTTTGTTGCTGATCCATCACTTGAAAATACAGCAATGACTTTCAATGGAAGTAAGCATGTAAAAGTTTTGACAGTTAAATTAAATATTTTAAACTTTGCCTTCACAAATTTTAACAAGCACAAACCGATTGTACTTTTTACATGGGTAAAAAGGTTGGGGGCACACACAAGTACACTGGGGCCTTTCTGCGCCTTCCTAAAATGAGTGATACATTCAACATCACTCCAAACTCTTTTCCCACTTAAAGAAAATTAAAATTTGGAATTATACAATCACTAGTACTTCACTGAGAATAAAACTGATCAAAAGGAAAAATTCAGCTTTATGAGCTACTGCCATATGTATAACAATACAGCATGCAGGGATTGCTCATTACAAGACTGTGCCTTTTCTAGCTCTTTTTTTAAGACGAGTTCAAACAATTTGAATATCTGCTATGGTATTGCATCATTAAATAGTCCATACATTTTTATAGCCACCAGAAAAGACACTGACAAATCCACTTGACAACTGTATGTATCATCAAATATATTCTTCATGCAGTTTGCATCTGTAATGCTCAGAAAGTTTGAGTGGTAAAATTAGATCTGTGCTTATCTTTCTGTGACTAATTCAGGCAGTGGCTGATACTTGATACAGATGTGCACAGAACATAAAGCTTTTCCTACCTAAGGGATGTTCCCCACTGTGGGCACTGTCAGCTTTGCTCATTTTGCTCAGAGGCAGAACTGTAGCTGGGGGCAGATACCACGGGGTGTTTTGCTTTGCACACAGCAGCCCAACCCCTCAGTCCCTGGGGCAACATGATAGACTCATAACCATGCCTCTGATCTCAAAACAGGCTGTTTTAAACTGCTTTTACAGCAAGTAAAAGTCATGGGCTAACTTGAGAGGAGGTAAACAAGTTCCTTAAGCAAGATGCTGCTGTTTTGGGATCACATGGCAGGAGCCATGCACGATGCACAGATTCACGTTGCAGGTGACAAAGGAAAGCACAGGGTCAGCGTGAAGAGTGTGCATTCCAGCAGCACTGTTGTGTGCTTGTCCCCCATTTACAGCATGCACTAAAAGCTCTGTTCTGCAGAGGTAGCTTGTTGAAAGCTCCAAAGACTGCAGAGGAACAAGGGCATTGCTCTGCCCTTTCACTGACTGCTACCAGCTAGGTACAGGGCAAGGATGGTTCAAAATGGTCAAGGGGAAGAAGTGGCAGGTCTGGGTGCATTGCAAGTTACTGGATATATTCAGAACTGAGGGCTTCTGGCATCTGTTATATTTAGTTCCTCTAAACAAATACTCTACAAAAATTCATTAAATAGTAAAAACACTCCTTATGTAGAAAGGTGGATTTAAAAGATAAAAACTCTTTAGTTAAGCAATTTAAATTCAAATTTATTACATAAGTGAAATTCTGTTTTGATTATGCATCAAATTTTCTGAAAAAAATTTCCGCTTAGCAAGCATGTTCAAACAACAGGGTGTGAAATTCAGAACCTTAACTTCAGAGTTTTCCTGTTATGCATAAGAGAACTAATTGAAATACTTCTTTCATAATCCAAATACCTTGAACCAGCTCATAAGAGAAATTGAAGGACTTTTGCAAGGAGCAAACTCATGGTTTGAATTCAGAAGAGCCCTGGACTGCTCTCTGGTCATTCACCAAGCAATGACTGACAGAGTTATGACAGCATCCTTGACAATGATTTCATAAACACAACTTTCTCAGTTTGTACCAGTGCTACTCCCGCTCCTTTTATATGCAGAAAAATCAGAGCAACATAGAAATAAGAGTAGAGAAACCTTCAAAGTCTTTACTTGGTGACAGGACCAAGCATGACTAATATAACAGCTGACCCAAGAAACTCAGAGGTGTGGACAGTTGAGAAAAAAGCTGGAAAAACACAGTTTAACTGCCACTTATTGATCTTGTCTGTGAACCCATTTCTAGCTTTCTTCATTGCCTTAGCTACAAATGTCAAAATAAATTTGCCTGAAAGATGAAAGTACAGTAAGAAGGTGCTCCATATAATTTCCAAGCAGGAAAGAATGATTAATAATCCACTTGTATCTTCTGTAATATCTGGGCTGAGTGGGCATCCCATGCTTGAAGGTACTCTCTCTGCACACAGTAAAACCATGTGTGTGACTCAGCTCATGTTCACTGCTTATGCCTGTCAGAATGTCCTCCCCGAAAGGCTCACAACGATAATAAAGGACATAGGTTCAAGAATCTGTAGTTTTAGTTACCTTTTCCATCAATGTTTCTTTCTGGTGTTACTAAGTGAAGTAAAAGCAGATTTCTAAATCAAGAAGTGGCAAGGTCATGCAGTTGTCACTCTTGTCGGTTTTCAAGACCTGACTGGATAAATCTCAGGCAACCTGATGTGATTGGAAGGCTGACCCTGCTTTGGGCAGAACATCAGACTGGAGGTCCCTTCTACCCTGAATTAATCTGAGTCTATGCAAAATAATGTATCCAAGTTCAAAGCCCCTCATACTTATTTCCACCCCTTTCGGCTACAAGGAAGTTCATAAGAGATCGAAGAGACCTGTAAGAGATACATACGTGGAATTTAGTGAGTCTGATATAGTCCATAGCAGTCGGAGCTAGTCAGATCTTCTACCTTAAGTTAAATTCTGTCATGGGGTTTGAATACTCATGAAGAAAATAGTGGGAATAAATAGCCTATCTTCAATATGAAATGAGGTTAAAACTGAAATACCCTGCAGTGCAGCTCTGGAGAGGCGTAACACAATATTTATGTAAGTGTTGAAAGAATGAGGATTATATCACCTGAAGAAGTCTGAGAAATCTCAGTAGAAATGAGCAAATCTAGGTGATTACATTGCCAGTGTCAGATAAAATGAC